AAACACCTGTTACATCAAGACACAGTTGCTCCCCGTTATATTGTTGTGTTTAATTTTCTTGCCCCTAAATAAACATGCCTTTACTTGTTAAATAGAATCTCATTTTTTTTCACCTAACTCTCCTTTTCCAAGAAGCAGCCCTAATAATGACAGTGAAGGGAACTCTTACACTTTGTTTGTGGCAGGAAAGGTAAGCACCAAGGTATATGCTACCCTACCTGAGCCCAGGGGAGAGGCCTGCCTTCGGACAAAGCCACATGCCCAATTCATCAAAGAGCTCTCCACTAGAGAGTCAGACAAAACCCAGCTCAGAACAATATGGTAGCTTGACTTCCTGCTGCCACTGTCCCTGCAGCGTCCATTCCTTTAGATCCTCATGGAGGTGAGGGAACAGGCATTGCTGGGTCCTCTGGCTATAAACACATTTAGTGGCACCATATACACATCCCCAACTTAAATCAAGGAACGGGTATTAAGCCATGAGAGAGTCACCAAAGACTAACAATGAACTCCTCAAAGATGACCAAAGTTTTTGGACCTCCTCTATGTAAAATACATTTCTGAGAAGAAGGCCCATCCTCTTCCTCCTAAATGGCTCCAGTGATGGAGAAGACAGGGATCTTAAGCCAAACCTACTGCTGGTATTCACAAAGACAACTGTTCTTCCTTAACTCATCCCTCCCTGTCATCCTTGAAAGCTGTGCTCCATCACTGTCCAAGGCACTGAGTCACCCTCTACTGGGGAACAATGCAGAAGATAAGCGGCTGGTTCTCAGGTCGTTCCTCCTATTAGCTCTGACTCATCCTTCACTTAAAGCCAGCAGGACCACCTTATGCAGGGTGACTATCTCACACAGCTCACTACGATGCCACCTGGGTGGACACACAAGCACTCCAAAGGCAGAGTCGCTCATATTTATTTTGGCTTTCACTTCCCTTGGTATCACGCCCGATTGCCCATTTTTCAACAGGAAATGATGACTTAGAGATTGTTATTTCTGAACCACTTCCCTTTCTTTTCCCCAGAGCCCCTTTTCTCCCCTTCTCTAACTTGGGACCTCCCCTCCCACACATGGTATGAACCTCTGACCCCACAACCCAGTGGGAAATGAAAGTTTCCACAGCCTGGGGGGCTGGGCAAGGCCCATGGAAGGACCTCAAAGATGGAAGACTCTGTCTGCCTCAAAGAAATGCTTCTAATCACACACACAGAGGGAGTGCCTGCTATATCCTCACCGGGTTACCAACGAGAGAAGCCAGCAGGCCTACCCAGGCTCCCACGTCAAGGGCCAGGGACACGATCACAGCCTGACAAAGGAAATGCCCAAGAGAGACCTTCCCACCTCCCTCTCCCTTCATCCCCATCCTTGTTTTCCTGTGAGGAGAACTGTAAGAAAAAACCTAGTCCTATTTCCTAGCTGATAACACAGATTAAAAATAAATAAATAAACAAAAACGTAACTGACTCATTAGTGGTGGCTCCATCATCCTGGACTCTCTGGTAAATTTAGATTATTTCCATGCACAGAATAGAGCTACTGTCATGAATGGAATTGTGTCTATTTACCCCTAAAAGATAGGAAGTCCTAACCTCCAGTATTTCAGAATGGGATTTTATTTGGAAATAGGGTTTGTAGAGAGGTAATCAAGTTACAATGATGACATTAGGCCCTAATCAAAAAACACTGGTGTCCTTTAAAAAAGGGAGAAAATTTGGACACAGTTAACACACACAGAGGGAAGACAGCAGTGTGATGATGAGGAACGGAAGTGGTGCATCGATGAAGCAAGGAATGGCAAATACTGCCGGGAACCACCGGAAGCTAGGAATAAAACAGGAAGGACGGTTTCCCTACAGGTTTGAGGCAGGGCAGGGGCCTGCCGGCCTGGACCTCAGACTTCTAGCCTCTAGAACACGAGACAATCAATTCCCGTTGTTCTGAGGCACCCAGTTTGTGTAACTCTGGTACAGCAGCTTGAGCAGAACACAGCTCCCAAGAATCATTCATTCATACGACAAAGAGAAGGGCAGCCAATGGAAGGATGAAAACCTGGGCGGGGTAAGCCAGGCAACGCCCTTTAACTCATCTTTAACCCATTACTGCACTGGGTTGTGGTAAAGATCATCTGTGTAATGAGTTAGCCCAGGAGAGCTGGCAGGTGCTGTCCAGCAAGAGCGATGGAGTCAGGCTGATGTGGTAGCAGACAACCTGCAACGGGGCAGAAGCGGTGGGAAAGGGCCAGAAGGCACGGCACCGAGAAATACTCAGGGGGCAAAACTCAGAGGATGTCGAGAAGGAGCCCTCTGCCGCTCCAGGTAACCTTCAGTTACAAGAACTGAGGGCACAGACGCAACAGGGCTTCGCCTTCATGCAGTCAGCGTGTCATCATCTGCAGTCCAAATCTCCAGAACATTTAGTACCTCAACCACAAAGTAAAGGCTTCCAGGGCACACAAAAATATATGGTTTAGATCCCAGAAGTCTAACTCCTCTTCCTTGGCACACTAAAATTTTGCTTCTTTTTCTGAAGGTCAGTAACATCCTGGTACTTGAAGTTACTTCCTGAGAAACAAATGAACACAGTCGATGGGCACGGACGTTCCTCGAAGAGCTGAAAGATTCCCTTGACTGTAACCAACTCAAAACATGAATACCCATACCAGGCACCCCAGCAATTTAGTTCTGGGGGCTTTTTGGGTTTTTTTTTTTTTTTTGCTACTTTCCTTTCCACCCGTTTCACCTGTACACAGTCAAATGCTGCTTCATAGAGATTAAGAGTCAGACCATCACAGCTCTGCTATTTACTAGATGTGACCTTAGAGAAATAAATAAATGTGCTTCCATCTATTCATCTAAAAACAAAAACAGTACGTGCCCTCAGAGATGTTACAAGGATTGAACGACATAATGGTGGTAAAGCTCTTATTCCTTACACAGAACATGACACAGCTTCAGCTAATATCGTCATCAACTGTTACTTTATGTTCTTCTTTTGTACCATCGAGGCCAGTGGCTTAATCTTTAATGTGCAGTGGAATCGCTCGGAAGGATTACAAAAACAGAGATGACCAGGTACCACCCTCAAATTTCAGGTTGGGGGTGGAGCCTGAGAATTTGCATTTCAAAGACTTTGAGAGCCACTGATCCGGTCAGTAGCTTTTTATGATCAGTAGCTCTTCTCCAGATCCACAGCTCCTGAAGTCACTCACCTTCCTATCAACTGGTGTGTTCAGAAACAAGAATTTCTCTGGAAAAGTGAAGGTTAAACATCCAACCCCTCCAACACGTTTAGCTCTGGGCAAGCCCCTATCCCTTTCTCTTCATTCTCACAGGAGACCAGAAATTGTTTTCATTAGCTCTCCAGGTGCCTCACTTTATGACCATAAAAACATCTGCCAACCACAATGGTTTTCTACTTCTTAAAGCCCTCTGGTATCTCCACTCTGTCCAACCCGGCACTGAACTGCCTGCTACCTCGGCTAGCTCTTTACTAGATACTTGGCTCCCCCAGTGAGGGCTGTGAGCTCCTTAGACAGAACAGCTGGGTTGTCGGCATCTTCTATGGTATTCAGAAAATAAACACTTTTAGGTTTACCAAGACTGTATTAAAATAGGTAGGCCCTGTTAATATTGGCATTTGACTCATTTCGTCATTTGAGGAGACCCTGGTTGGCCAAAACTGATAAATCCCTTGACCTCAGAATAAAAAATAATTGTTAACTGGATGTTAAAAAGCAATTATATAATAACTGGGTGCCAATTAGGTTAGCTCTGTTCTAAGCCTCTTACCTGATAAACTCAGTTATCCTAACATCTTTACAAGTGGAATTATTACACCCATTTTGCAGATAAGAAAACTGGGAGTTTATACGACTGGGATAAGGAAGGGCGTGGAACTTAGAAGGCAAAAAGAGAAAAGTCTCAGGGGGGAGGGTATAACTCAAGTGGTAGAGTGCGTGCTTAGCATGCATGAGGTCCTGGGTTCAATCCCCAGTACCTCCTCTAAGAATAAATAAATAAACCTAATTACCTGCCTCTATTTGCCAAAAAAAAAAAAAGAATGAAAAAAAGTGAATAAAGCAGGACATTAAAAAAAAAAAGAGTAAGGTCTCCTTGGGTGACTGCTCCATCGGGGTGATTTGAGGGAGAGAGGAATTGGGGGAGGAAGGAGGAACGGGAAGGTGTTACCACTGTTGTTTGGCAAGATGAAAACTTCTCCCCTCCCCTGCCTGGACATGGAAACCAAGCAGCACAATGCGGAGGAAGGAACCACTGCCAAAGGCTCGCTCTCCATCTCCATGGTTGCACTGGGAAGAACCCAGGGTAGCCAATGGACAAAGCACTGTTATTAGCAGAAGGCACCGCATCAGGGCTGGTCAACCTCTTTATCAACAACTTGGAGCATTTCATAATCTAGGCATGAGTGGGAATGAGGGGTGGGGATGGAATCCGGGACCCAGTGAAACTCTGAGCGTCTACTTACAGGCTCCACGAACTCAAACATCTTTCTCTCCTGGACTTCCTGCACCTTGAAGACATACTCCAGGGATACTTCATAGAAATGCTGCCGGACCAGGTCCACCTGGCTGTCTGCCTGCAAACAAGATGGGATTTAAAAGAAACAGCAAATCACTATCTGAGGAGAGGATTCAGCCAGCAGCCAGAAAAATCTCTGGAGATGGGTTTTGAAAGCAAATCAACTAGCACGAAACACAGATATGAATAATGATAGTGGCAGCTGAGCACCAACTTTAGACCAGCCATCAAGCTTACAGCTGTACTCATTACCTAAGTCAATACTCAGTCTTCATTCATTTTAGTTACTTAATCCTCATTAAATTCCTAAAAAGAAGATATTATCTTTGCTTCTACTTCACAAGATGAAAATGAAATCAGCTAACATGAAGGCACCTGACACAGTTGGTATAAGGCAAAGCTGGGACTTCTGTCCTGGGTGATCTGCCTCCGAGACCCTTGCTCATCCTTAAACCAATTGACTCGACCCCCTCCCTGCACCCTGGGGCAGACCTAGGTTCCCTGGAAGACAGATTTTTCAAGAGAAAAAGAAAACACACTGGGCCATCTTCATTCCATCCTCCCTAATGAATGAAACAAGCTGTTTAGGGGGCAGGGGACCTCAGAAAAGAACATTTTTACATGAGTCCCAAATACTCCCTTCAGACAAGGATGAGCTATTAGTTTACCCCAAGCAAAGTAATTACATTGCTCCCTTGGAACCTCACTTCTCTCTCTGTGCAGATGTGTGGCCTGGAGAGGCCCACCCGTGAGTACAATTAAGCCACTGATCTGGGATCTAGAACCCAGAGGAGAAAATGAGCATGTGTGAAGTAGCATGTGTGATGCTGTGCTGCTAAGTACCACAACCATCACCATAAGGCTCTTACCCTTTCCACAACATGGCTAAGGCAACTCAATCTTTCACAGCAGGTAATTACACTGAAAGCATCTTTCAATGACAAACAAGTGATTTTTAAAAATAAAAAGGGGTATCCTGCTAGTAGGAAACAAAACACCGTTTTCTTTAGAAGTGAAGGTATCCGATATCGTTCTATGACATCCCTTACAAAGACGAAGCCCCTCAAAGGAATAATTCTTCTGGTGTTCCTCTGTCAAGATTCTTGTGGAAAAAAACCTGGGACTGACCTTTACAGCATTATCCCAAATACGGTACCGCTAACCTGGCATCTTAAGGACTTGCCAAATCATTCATTGATTGACCATCATGAGCAAAAAGAAACTTCCTTCAGGGAGGTCACAGCATAATGGAAGAAAAGGGTGTATTAATTAAATAATCACAAAAATGAAAAGAAAACGACAAACTCTGGAAAAGGACAAGAATCCAAAGAATCTATTCAAGTCTCCTGCTAGCAACTTGCTCCCAGGACAGCTTCCATATCAGCAGGCAGAAGGCAGCCCCCTACGTGACTGCAGAATAAAACCAGTGTAAAGGGCTAAGCCTGGGGTTGTTTTCTAAGCCTCCGGGCAGGGGAGCTGATACCTCAGCACAGCAGAGCTTTACTTGGAGGCCAGGTTTCAGACAGTGCTGTCCCCTCCCCAGCTGTGGCTGCTGGACCAGCGGCTGACACACCTTCCACCTGGCTCCGGCCAGCTAAGTTCAGTAAGTCCCTGCAGCCCTGAGCTTCCTCGTCCATGCCGATCCCACACGGCTACTCCAAGGGATGCATCAACTTGCCTGACCTCCCCCCATCCCTCGTACATCTTCCCTGCGTGGGCTTGCCAAGTGAGACTGCAACAGAGAAAAGGGTCACTCTGAAGAGCTGCAAAGGGCTTCCTGCAGTCAGGCCGGGCTGGAGGAGCCAGAAGGAATCTCCTCTGAGAAGAAGAGCAGAGCCCAGCATGAGTCCGGGAGCCAGCAGAGCAACCACCTGGCTGGGAGTTGCAGGTCCGTCACTTGCTAGCCGGTGGGACCTGCTCCGGTCACGCATCCTCTCCGGTCTCCTTCCCACGCCTGGAGCCTGGGGGTGACTTGACCTACCCTTGCTCTGAGTAGAGCCGTTTCGCAGAGAAAATGAGTGACAGGGTGTGAACAACTGGAAGACCAGAAGTGTCCTGTGTGTGTCACTTGTTATCATCGGGGACATCTAAGCAGGCGGGCTGCCACCCTGCTCTGACCCTAAGCCAGCCCGTCATCTCTAGGTGGTTCCATCCTCTCCTCACTGGCCTCCATGCTTTCATTCTCTGCCCCACAGTCCAGTCTCCACTCAGCAGCCAGAACACCTTCCCTAACATCTAAATTCGGTGTTTTTACAACTCCTTAACACCCCCCCCACCAGCCTCTACCATGGTCTGAAGACCATGGGGGACCAGCCTACCCCCCACCTCTGCTCCTCCCTCCCGTGTCTCCCTGTATCCAACCACTCAGTCTCCCACCCGCCCTCTAACCCTCCAGACTCTTCCTTGCCATGCAGCCTTTGTACTTGGTGTTCCTTCTGCCTGAAAACCTTTTCCTCTAGATAAATATTCAATTTTTTAAAACTTTAATGCACAGTAAGAAATACCTTTTACAATATGACCCCATAAACATATATGTATAATTAAGAGCAACACACTTTCATATTTTTCACTCTGTTCTGACCTACTCTACTCTATTTCATGACCCAGTAACTCAGATCTGATGACACACCTACAATTTAAAGAATATTGTCCTAGCTTTTCACCCAGCTTGCTCCTTCTCTTCCTTCTGGTCTCAATTCAAATGCTACCTCAGTAGAGAAGCCTTCACTGACATTATTTTAGTTAAGTCACCCCAGGGAGTCTCTATCTTATCTTCCAATTTATTTCCTTATCACTAAGTGAAACTCTTATTTA